TATATATATATATATCGTCACTTTTCCGAAAAGATAACAGAAGATTATTGAACGCATAAAAAAAATACATGATTTGAGCATGTTGCCTCGCTGCCTTTAAATTTCGCACTTTTTATCACTATCAACATCATCATTAGTCGTGTTAAAGTAGAATATTTGTTGAAAATGTCGAGAAAAATGGATTGCACCAAATTTGCGCGATCTTCAAAATCTTTGACACTTGATTGAGCACGTCACATCATCATCCGGCGACTTGCTTTCCGATTTGATGAGAAAGCGCGTATAATTAAGATCAGTTTCTCCCAATGCCAAATTATTGATAAATTCCTTCCCTCGTTAGTCTAAAATAAATGCTGTAAGCACACTGTGTTAATAAATAACTCCGAGTCTGAAATGCATATGTTTTCTTTTTATCATCATTTCTTTTATCATATATTTTTTTTAAAGCACTTTTGAAATTTAAAACTCGTTCATACATCTTCGCCACAGCTGAGAATGTATTCATTGGCGAAAAGAATTATTTTGTAATCCGAGAAACAAGCAGCTTATTATTCGAAAATGTTACATTCTTTTCTAATAAATGTTTTCTATTTTTATTATAATAAAAAATGCGCCTCAACTAATGATTATTTATGTTGCAAAATTCAACCGTATATAGTTAACATTATAATCAATATTTTTATAAAATTTTCATAGAAACCATAGATTCAAGATATTTTATGTAGTTACAACACTATATAATTATTTACCCTTTTGTGCAGTCTGATAACATATCAATATGATGATTGGTAAACTATCTCTAATCAGCGATGATAAGGCGAGCTTCCTTTTCAACGCAATTTTTTTTCTTGTCTTTTAATTAATTTTCTAAAAGTTTCTAAATAATTTTCAGAAGTGATCAATATTGATATCGCATATTCGATCGATGTGTAAGGTTACACTTTACCTGGTGTTATATGGTAGGTGGGTTAGAGGCTTTGTAGGTTGCGCGCGCAGCGGCAACTACAAGTGTGATTGGCTGTTCGGCGACTACAGCGCTGGTGTGTGTGTGAGCCGTAGGAGATAAGAGAGGACCGCGTGCGGGCGTCAGACGCTTTGTGTCCATCGAGTCGTTAAGCGGTAGCTAATCGTTTTAAAAAAGTCGTTTGTTCGCGAGTACGCTACTGTTCGTAGGCGAGTGACAAAAGAGATCTGTATCCGTTTGTGCATTTGGTAGAATATACATATATTTCAAGTTATTCATTAGCCACGGAGTATTTTCTGGTTGTTCAAAATTGAAACATTAAAATTTCGTTTCTAAATTTCGCCGTTATATTCAAACGATTGCCTCAGAAACCAAAACACGAGCGAGAGCAAAAAGCGTCGCGATCACCCGCTCGGTGCGTGATCGCGTTATTCTATAGTGAAAAACCGTGACAAACACCTGGTTCGACTATGATATTCTTTCGTGTCTTATTCTCGCTCGTGTCGCGTACGCAGTAGGCTTACTCGTCTCAAATTCGGTCCGAATTGTCTCGCCATACGATCGCATTCATATTCTCGCGGCGGTTAATTCGGTCATATCTCAAACTGTATTCTTCATTCAGTTAGTGCTAAGATATTGTGAATGTTAATTCTGTGGTGTCCGAGAGCCGACGCTCGTTAACCGCATCGCGAATGTCCTTTGCCTTGCGCCAAATTCCATCCGGCGTTCGCGTGCAAGATTTCCGCTCTCGCGAGAGTTTCTAGCAAGAAGCTCTTAATCAAGATTTCCGAACCGCGAAAAAGGGCAATCATTAACAGGACATTTGAAGATCTCCGTCGGAATCGCGGAATACGTGCCGTCGCTCGCTCCTATTATTCAAAATAAAAAAGAACATTTTTTAAAATCTGCACTCGCCTCCTTTCTCAATCTCCTTATCCTCCAGCGGATCTACGGATTCGCGTTACACACCGCTTCTCGCTCATCTCTGAGCGTCTCTCTCTCAGTTTCGGGCGATCTCGTCGAGGTCGACTTCCGAACACTGGTGATCATCATTATCAAGAACAATCCCTTCCGTTAGCCATTTTCCCGGCATTTCCCGACCTCCTACGCATCCTTAACTATATCTGCGGTTAATTCAAATAACCGCTTAATAGCCTCGAAGACTATTATCAGAGAGAAGCCTGAGAGCGGCCAACCCAGCGTTTTTCGTACGATAGCTTTCGGTCCCGTACAGCAGCGCCTCTACGTCCATTTTACAGACGCTTGGAACTACACGGCCACGTCCACTTTCGGTGGCATGATAAAACAACCAATTGGTTCATGTCCATGCTACGTCCACTTTTCGATACTGTCGGTCTCGGTTCATGTCCGTGCTACATCCACTTTTCGATATTGTCGATGCTGGTAGTACACTGATCGCTAGACAAAGAGAAATGATTGCGCCGTCTTTGTCTCTCTTTCATCGCGTATATGTGTAGCGTCTGTGAAGATACAAACACCGATACATTGAGCACACGGATGCGATTGTTGGGAGATAATGTTAGACAAAAAGCGACAATCGCGTGCTATCCTTGTTCCTCTAGCGTATCGCTTTACGACCGAGATACAGCCTGAAAATGCTTTCTGGCCTCTCGTGACAGAAAGCAGTAATGCAACAAAAGGCTAATAAGCACCCACTTTTTGAGAATTTTATATTTAAAATCAATATTACTTGATTTGTAAAATCAATAACAGATGACAGATCAGTATGCGTGTATATGTAGTTAGGGACTGAGTGCGCGAGCTCTACGCGATATCATTGGCAAACTTTGATCGTTTATAACTCAAGAACTATTGCAGCCTCAAAATTTTTGTATTATGCATGTATGCTACGTGCGAGCGAGAGAGAACGCAAGTGAGAATTATCTGAGTTTTTATGTAAATGGAAAGCGACTATTATATATGCGTGAAAAAGAATCCGTCTGTCATATATGACACATGTGACATGTGACATGTGTCGTCATTTGAAATGTCAAATTCTTCAACTTCCATGCGTTGTTCTCGTGTCTTCTTTGCGATACAAATATGATCTTATTTAACAGAAATACGGTCTCCATTAATTAATCATTGCTATGTTTAGGCAATAAAATAATATGCTAATATGAGAAAAGTGTAAACAAGGGCCTCACACCTCTTGAGAAAGAGAGAGGTGTCATCGATATGCGAAATCTTTAATCTAACCTCTAACATGTGACATACGTCCTGTTTTGAAATCGTACGATAACGCATAAGGTCTTTGGTACCAAAATAAAGGAAAAAAAGTGGAAGCGTCAAAAAACCGAAAAATAACTACTCGATTGACGGCACGTTAAATACCATCTTATTAAAAAAAATACATCCTGTTTTTATGCAATTTAACAAAAATTACAGTTTCTATATTTACCTTAACGAATAAAGTAGACATCGTGAAAAGTAAAATTGAATTGTTCGATATATTTTATATATGATTCTCTTGAAATTGGTCGACTATGGAGAATCAGGTTCATTCGGAATTGATTATGAAGGAGGAACGAGACGAGGAGGAAATGAAAGAGGGTCGACGTTCTACCGAAAGCAACAAGAGCATCACACCTGACGCTTCGGCGATCGGGATAAGACCGAAGCCTCTAATCTGTAAGCCGGAGAATGTGAGCATCGGATGCAAGTCGGAGCCGATCGAGAGGAAATGGCAGTGGGCCCCGGGAGCGTGGCAAGATGCGACCAGAACCAGCGCATTTCAGCCGTATAAGGTATTTTTTGTACTCAATTAAAGTAGATAGGACATATCAATGTATATCAGAAAATTAGGGGAGATTTATCTCTTACAAAATTGTTATGTATATGTGAGCAGAATGAAATATTTATATTTTATCTGTAAATATATCTATCTGTTTGATATGCATAGCCGCCCACATTACTCACGAATCTGCAAAGGGGCAATACTCAGACTCAGATACATCAGCTCTATATAGAAAACGATATCACGTTTCATACTTTGGCTGGTCAAGGGGAACTTACACCTGAACATATATGTTCAAGTATATAATTTATATAGTATCTAATATCTACATAGCGTGTTGTAAATTTAATCTGTAATTTTTGGATTGTGCATAGTTATTGAATATATAATAAAATAATTTATCTTTGTATATGTCTTGCACAGATTCAGTAGATGCGACTGATGAAAAGGGCTTAACAGGATTGATGTGGGCCAGTGCTTATGGACAATTAGGTACCGCTAGGCAATTGCTCAAGTGGAGTGCTAAAATAAATCGCCGTGGACCAAACGGAGAGACAAGTTTGCATCTGGCAGCTGCTTATGGTCATTATGACGTCGTTAAATTATTATTAAATCACGGTGCTGACCCTAATGCAGGCGACGAGGTATACATGTAGCATTTTAAAAAATCTGGGTATCTAAACATATTTAAATATCAATAATTTCTATTCTGACATAGGATGGTAATACACCACTAATCTATGGAGCATATTATGATCATCCACGTGTGTGTTATGAATTATTAACAAAAGGTGCAGAAGTAACACATATTAATTTTTCCAATGTAAGTGCTTACAAGGCAGCTATTATGAATAATTCAATGAATGGTAAGCACCTTTATCCGTAAACATAAAAATGATCAAAGTAGTTTACTTATTTTTGATATATTTTTTGCAGCTAAAGCAGTTATTGAGAATCACCTGATACCACAAATTATAAATATACCAACAGATGAATTGTAATAATCTAATTATTTATATACTTTAATATTTATAAATATTTGTACATGTGCAATGTGTATTTTTAGAAATCATAGAGATTAAGAAATAACAATATTTTCATGTGGTAGGAAAGAAAAATAACACATGAAACATTTATCGAGACAAGGTATATAAACTTACGAACAAGTAACAAAATTTGATATATTTGGTAATAATACAATCCCCTTTTCAGGCGCGCTATTGTAATATACTAAAATATATGTATCAAATAAAATGTAAATATACGATAAGTTTTCATCGTGAGTCCAATTTTTTTTCTAATTAGAGAATATATCTTCTTTTTTACAAACTTATTCGGCATCAGACAGTTATTAAATTGTATAATAATAAAAATTGAGGCGTGTATGTAAATATACCAACGTATACTCATCGATCATCAAGAAATGACTATGGCAATAAAATTAAAACTCAAACAGTAATCAATCTTGATTATTAATTATAACGTTTCACGTCTCACTGTGTGTGTGTGTGTGTGTGTGTGAACTGTGCCTCTATTTTCATATTCTCTTATATGCACAAATATTTTATCTATTCTTTCTGTCTTATACAACTTCATAATTATCAGTAAAGAATACAGTTTCTACTGAATACTTAACAGGGCTCTCATCTTCTACAAGCAAAACTTCGCTAACCTGGAAAGTAAAATTAACATAATGATTGATATCAACATAAATCATATATCTTTTGTAACTTGCGCAATAAATTCGTTTATTTTATACCTTGAGTTTGGCATACGGCGTTTTAGATGTAAACGAGATGTGAAGTGGGAAGAAATCTGCAGGTGTAGAAGAAGGGGCCGAAAATTCCATCGAGCCAGATTTTGTCGAAGCATCGATCACTGGTAAAGACCAAACTAACGTGTTTCGTCGTGCTTCGTGCGTATACTGTCCGTCGCATTCGCTAACAATAGGATTGCATCCGATAGATAGAGGAATGTTTATCTGGACGTCATTCAATTCGAGATCAGCCTGCTCCAATTCGTATTCGATATTCACATCGCAGCCACCCTCTCCGTTTTCAGAAGGCCAACAATTTACTATATTATAAATGATTAATTAAAAATATGTATATTCTTGACTTTTACAAGCTTAAAAAATTTATGTTATATGTATAATTGATGAATCTTACTTGAAATTGGTAATGCTGTTTCGTCTTGGGCTTGGAAACGCCATTTCAACACACCGACGTCAGTGTTCAGTGGAAATGGTTTTGTGGGTACTTTCAGACCTATTTGTCCATGCGCTCTGAATAATTCCTTGTCAACATTTGGATGAGTTTGTAATTGAATGCCTCTCGTGTCTCTGTTCTCAACTTGCACACGGATACGCCCCCATTTCTCGTCGGAGATGTGTAAAGTCACCAAGCCGTGCAACTCGAAGTTCTGTAAACCTCCGTCTCGACCGACACGTACGTTGAGTCTTTCCTCTTGCCTCAAATGAACCCTTTTGATGGAAATGTGTTTGTTTAAATCAATTTGTTTGTATAAATACATATTTTAAGTTCTTCTTTTACATAATACATCATGTAATGAAATTACATACAATTCTGTGTTCATTATTTGAGGAGTGATTGGTGCTATTTTCGTTCCAGGAGCTGCAAGAGGCCCTGACACAACATTTTCTCCCTCCTCCTTCAATTGATCAACAAAGGAATCCACATCGCGAGATTTACCACCCAATTTCATTGCACCTGGTCCAGCATTGATGACGTGCTTTCAGCGGCTATTTTGATTCGCGACGATTTCGTAGATGGATGACGAGAAACGATTACTTACCATTCTAACGAACTAATTTCGAAACGCCTCGTGTAATTAAAATCCAAGCGCGTACTCTCTCACATGGGAGAACCACCATCTACTCTCTCCACATCACATATACATAAATACACGAAGAAGCGTACAGAGGGCGCTCTCTGCTGACGTGTGCCATGATAACGATTACTTACCATTCTAACGAACTAATTTCGAAACGCCTCGTGTAATTAAAATCCAAGCGCGTACTCCTCTCTCACATGGAAGAACCACCATCTACTCTCTCCACATCACATATACACAAATACACGAAGAAGCGTACAGAGGGCGCGCTCTGCTGACGTGTGCCATGATGAAAAGTATTACAACGTTCATCCGGATATCAAAGTCTCGGAAAAGGTAAGTAAAATACAAAACATATTATATTTCCTGTATATATATGCGTGTTATATTTATAATTTTTCATCTCGCAAAGTGCTGTGATTTCATGTGTACAATTTCTCATATGATTCATTTCATATCCGTAAATATAGCATGAGAACGTTTAAAGAACACCTTGGCAAATTATTTCTTCTTTGAATTATAATTTTATATTGTAGTATTTCTTTTTAATTATTAATCTATTATTATATTCTTCAAAGACATTGAACCACATCTCTAAAGATCTTTGATATCATATTATTATTATTATTTAAGATCTTTGATATTATTTGATATTATTTTTTTTAATTAATTCAAATAGAACGAATTCGAGTAAATGCACTAATTGTAAACCCATATCAGAGATCACGTATTGAAGATTAAATTAAATTAAATTGGAATTTAACTAAATCAAAATAAAAAGAGTTAAAATTTCTTTCTTCTGATTGATTAAATTTCGATCTTCAATCTCAATCTTCAAATAGTTTGATACGGGTTTTAATGCGCGCCAAGTGCGCCTACGTTCAATTTCCTATGTTCGGTTGGTATTGAAAATCGAGAAAGGGGGCGCGCTTGCTGCGCCAAGTCAGTCTATCCAACTGATTTCGCTATTAGTTCCAACGGAAAATTTGAATTCGCGCTCTTTTCGCGACTCGAGTTATATTAATCAGTGGATTGCGGTGGATTAATTATCTTCTATTGGATTAAGTGTACAAGAAGCTCTTGTATTATATCGTGTGCGTCGATGTAGTTAAAGGTACGCGATGTAAATTCGAAAGAAACGCGACAATGGCACGCGATCGGATCGTAGCAATCTGTATAAGGTTATCATCGTATCAAATTTCGATCGATATACATCTTCCACAAGATTTCTCCTGTCGCGGGATCGATCTGGCGGAAACCAGCATCGGCGGGACGTATTGGGGTGACTGCATTTATTCATCATGATTCGCATGATCAATCTCTTTTTTAACTCTCGACGAGAGAAGATGAAGCGTCTTCGTGATCTTTGACGGAAGGATCGCGATTCGGATTAACGCCGGTCTCGCGCTTGTTACGGCTATTACGCTTAGAACTAAGCTATTACGATACGGCTGGGAAAACATCCCGCTGGTGTGTTTCGTCAGGTCGTTTCGTCATACGTGCGCGTATATACACGACCGTGCGTTAATTTAGCGGCGGTCATTATTACATCGCATCTATTGCGCTCGCGTTTCCGCTCAGATGAGTTCGAACTTCCGCTATTCCTGCCCCTCACCGCGGCCCTTACACTGGGCCCCTTTCCCTCCCTTTTGCGGACGATCCTTGGTTGCGAGGAATGGCAATTGTACTATCGTAGTAAGCGAAATTACATACTACGTCTACGAGTAATTAAATTTTAATTTTGCCGATTTCGTAAAAATGATTATAGAAATGGTTTCCAAATTTTAATCTTCTTAAAATAAATTTATTTCATTATTTAATTGAAACATATTTTCTTATAATAAATTTTATATAATTTTAAATTTGTTTTATAAATTTAATTTAATATAGTAGATTATTTTAATAGCAATGGATTTAAATTCCCCCTCCCCCCATTTATAAAGAATAATATATAAATATCTTTTATTACACAAATAAATTTTGATATTTGATCTTTATAACATTATAAAAATTCCCAACTCTTTTCTATATATAATATAATCATCTTTTTCATGATTTTACTATAATAATTTTAATTTTTATTAACTCTTATGTATTCTTTTTATTATATTTAAAATAATTAATGCTACATTTATTAATTAATTTATATTCACGTCATAGAATTTATTTGAAAACTTATATTTATATTAATTTTTATTGCTATTCTCTTTGTTAATTAAAATCTTATATTTAATTGATAAAATATTTAATAATAAATTAATAATAAATTAGATATGCATCTAAAAAGGCTGAAAGATCATGTAATTCAAAATGACTTACGCGAGTTTCAAATTTTATCATCCAGAAGCAGAGTTTTATCGTGCCATAAATTACAAACTTTAAAGCGTTCGTGTTTCTTAAAATTATTTAAATTTTAGATATATGGTTTTTACGGTTATTGTTAGTAGGATAATACATATGTGTGGAAAACTAAAATCGAAAGGGGTAAAAACGAGATTTACGTCTTTAAATTATCCCTACGGTGACCGGTTATTGAATGAATGTTTAAGAAAAATTCATGTAGAGTTAATTAAGAAGATAAATATTGTCGAGGAAAAAAATAGTGAGAAAAAAATTTGGCGCCTCGCGTGGAAATTTGATTTTTATCAAGGTAAATTTTCTACAAGCGATTGTAATTAATTAATGGCACTGCTCCTTTCCCGCGTCAGCACATCGTCATTATTATTATAACCGCTGTCAGCAACAGAAACGGGGCGGTCGACGAGAGGCTTTTAGAGGGAAATTAAGCTCGGGGTAAACGGTTAACAAAGAAATTAATGTACGTATCGCACTTACACCGCTATCAAGCCATCCAAGCGGCGGGGTGACTGCAAAGGGGGTAAGGGGCAGTTGAAGGCGGTGATACGCCGGCTAACCCAATTAGCTTCTGGGCTAATTTGCTTAGCACGACACTCTTTTGCGAGCGTAAGCAACGGCCATCTTGATAATACGAGTTGGGGGGACCAACTCCCTTTTTTCCAGGTTGTCGAGCGCGCGGATTAAAAGGAAGAATGCGCTGACGTCGATTCGTCGCGGTTCTCCGTCTTATAAAAGATCGACTTGTCAACGTCGGCGCCATGTGAATAATAATAAAAGCGACGACGCGGGATGACACGTGTGCGGAAATGTCGGCCGATATTAATCAACGTAAATTAGTTAATCAACGGACGCGGCAACAGTACAACAATTGGTGAGTGTATTTATATCACGCTTGAATTTTTTTTTATTTGCACGCTTTTTTAACGAGGGATAGACGAAACAACCGACTGTCTGGAAACCATTAATAGCTCGGCTATATTTTGTTAAATATGTTTCGCGCGATCTTTAAATTTTTATATAGCTGAATTCTTTAAATATATTCTCGTTTATTTTTCTTGCGTTATCGGCGAGAAGATTGATTTTACCTCTTTTTTTATTTTTAAAAGGGGAGAATCCCTCTGTCCTTCTTATTTTCTCATAGAAAGCCTCAATACGTTATTTCGCACAAAGCTTGGCGATTTGCCGACACTTGCCCGTGTATTGAGTGCATTCAATATTGAGTTTTATGAAAATTGTATGAATTTGCATTTTTCGATGCCGCGAGAAAAAAGCGTCATTACTGATGCATTCGATGCGTAGAATAAAAATTGAAATTTGTATTTTATACACGACAGGATTTCCTTTTTTTTTTTCAACGCCACGTTAGCACTCTCGCGCGGTGAAAATAGAGCGATACGTGCGCTTTACGGCAAATTTTCGCGTTACGTTATTACAACGAGACGAGAGAGAACAAGTCTCGCGCGCGCTCAAAGGGATTACGAACATCCTTCGCTTCGAATAGAGACGTCCGTTCCGTTATAAATATTACATTTTAGCTCCTTTGAGCGCGCGCCGCGCAATCCCGCGATAAGTTGGAAACTCGTAAGTCTATTTCTGCAATTACCCAGCGCGGTAGACCACGGTAGCCGCGCAGAAATTTCCGGGCACGCGGTTTTACAGGGAATGCCGACCGGGGGATATTACAATTAATGTAATATCAACGCGAACGAAAGTTTTCAGAGAGCGAGATAATGCGAGAGTAATAATAAGCTTAGCCGTGTTTCCATTATGCCGAAAATTACGGGATATTGGCAGGAATCTTTAGGATGTTTGTCAAAATTAATGGAAGGCTTTCCCCTCGCGCGTTCCAACGAATCTCTCTCGCGTTCAGATAGAGGCCGACTCTCTTGTGCGAGAATTACTCGGCCCTCGTTCTCGTAGGTAAATTTCGATGAGAAAACCCGGCGTTCTATCGCGATAATTCCGGAGAGAGGGGAATTAAAAAAAAAAAATGTTACAAAATCGCCGAAGATAAACTGGCGCATACCGCGGCATCATACAGCGGTCCGTGCGGATGTACGATCGCGAAATCCGCGCTTTCAGATGCAAATGTAACGGAACGCAGCCTCGTCGGGACAATCGCGCGCGACCACCGAGATTCATTGCTGTTTACCGCAATTTATTTTCAGAGACTTCCGCGCGCGCTTCCCCGGCCGGCACCAAGTTCTATCCGAGAAGCGAATTAATACACGGAGAGATCACCATTCTCGATGTTGCTCATCTTATTATACCGACGTGTTGTTTTGCGGACGCGTTGTCTTTCACGACGGCTCGAATAATTGTCGTTATTAATTTTATGCCGTTATCGACAGAGTGAGCAATCGTGGAAAATATGTTTGCCATTGTATCGTCAAATTAGTAATTGTTGCATCAATAATGCAGGTATATCCATTTAATTTTTCAGAGAGTTTCCTGTTGATTGTATGATATATAAAATATTATTATTAGCTTATATCTCTGCTTCAAAGTTTCTATAATTTATTATTGTTACAAATGTTATGGAGATGAGATGTAACTGCTTCTACAAATATTAATATTGTTCGCATAATTAGCGCGGAGAAATTAATTGTTAATTGCTCAGAAAGAAATTAAATGTCACGTAATGCTACACGTGTTTCTTGCTAATAATATATTTCTCTCTCTCTCTTTCTCTCTCAACCGAGAATTAAATTATACAGACCATTTACGAAAGTTGGACGAAATATAATTTTACGTTGTTACACTGTATTTATATCAA